AAAAAAGGGTCAATTTGACCTGGATGCAACACAAGGGTTAAATTTGATTGTATTTACATCTATTAAAAAATGTATTATAAAAATGGTATATGGTATGCATCTCTGCATTTAAAACTGGGTAGTTTTGCAGACATCTAAACTTTAGGTTTTTTCAATCTTACATGTCACTTGCTAAGTTTGCTTAACACCAGTAACACTGAAAGCAATGTTTGTCAAAGTCCTCTAATCTTGATTTACCTTTTTTAATTCACCCACTCCATTGATATAAACTTGATAAACAATTTAGCACATGAAATTAGTCATAACTGGCTTTATTTGCACAACATAAATTAAAAATCAACTACAACAATTTCCTTTTTTGAGACATGATGGGTGAAGGCCACACAAGGGTTAAATACACTTTACACTGGCAAAATTAAAAACCACATTCTTCCATCTCTGTAATGCTGTGGTTTGGGTTAACCAGGAAAGTAAGATGGGACAGTTAAGAAAGATCTGCTAAAATCTGGTGATATAACATGCATTGTTTTGGTGCTTTGTGACAGAAGGTCCAGTTCACCTAATCTGCTTGGCAAGAGGCTCCGGTTCTCACACGTGTAGAAGAAAAAGATTTTTTTTATTTTGAGTTTTCTGAATTCTGAAGTGACATTTTGATTCTCTATTGCCACCTCATGATAGATTTGTGTTTTGCACCATTGTAGCTATAGTAGAAGTGGTGGCCCTCACAAAGAGGTCACAGAACGTGGGCCACACAGAGGCATAAAGACGTGTGTGTGTGTTTGGTGGGGGTAAATACTGTTGTGTAGAGGACGTGCACTCCAGCTGACACCAAATACACAAAATAGTGAACAATGAACAAAATAACACATAAAAGCAGCTCAAGAGTAAATAACGGATACCCTGCAGATGTCCCAGTCAGTGATGTTAGACGTTACTGACAGCGGGTAAAGTCAGTCCAGCCTCACTGTTCTCTGCTGTCACTCATTCAGTGACACTCAGTCAGGTTTCATAAAGACATACTTTTGCTACTCCCACAGTGATATACATCGTGTCTATTTTTGTATTTTATGATGCTTTGATTCTGACAAAAGCAGCTGTAGGTGGAAAGATTTAAAGAATAATGTCCTTTAACAGCCTTCAACAGCATGTAGCAGACCATAATCAGTTTCTAGATCAGTTTTGGTACAACACCGTAAACATGGTGCATACAATATATCTTTTATTTTATTATTTTAAAAACAATTAGCCATTTATAAAGTTACATGCAAATAAATTGCATCCTATAGATAAATTAGAAAATAATTTGGTGCATTTCTGAGACTCCCCTGAAATGTAATTTTGAGATTTTCAGGGGATCCAAGCTGTAAATCAGGCTCCCTGTATTTTGCACACTGCTGATACTGCATAAAAGATTAACACAAGAATAAGAAGTTTTGGTTAGTCACAGGAAAAAAGGCTTATCTAAAAGAAATGAAAATTTGCTTGCCTGTCTAAATTTGTTTGGAAAAAAATTACATTTTTACTACACCTGGTGAAAAAACATACATTCAGAACTGGCTTTGGTGAAACCTTCAACACAGTTTGGTGCCCATCAGCAGGTCTGGATAAAGTTATGGACCCTGAACTCCTCTAACACTGACAGTCTCCCATCTTGCTTTTCTGTAAGAGTTGTGACATTAAAAGCAAATTTGCAGACCTTTTTAGTCCACTTGTTTCTCATTTTACTACTTTGGTTCCACCTTTTAAATTTACATGCATAGATACATACACAAACATTACATGCATTTTGGTTTTCATGCTCCTCACTCATTTACTTGGATGCCACCAGCTTTTCTTGTCACTCTAAAACCCTTTGGCTGTATTTTGATTCAGTCTTTGATGCCTAAAGTCTCTGTCTTTCCATGTTTCTCCGTCGTTGACATCCCCATGTTGATTTCTGCTCATGCTCATTGTCCTCAGACCCCATTTCTCTGTCTCTCTCTCTTTCCTAGGGGTTCATAGCTCTGCAGTGGCTTGGCTCTGACTCATCGTGTATGCTGTGTGTCATGTGCATCCAGGTCTGTTTGTGTGAGAATAACTGTGTGTGTGTGTGTGTGTGTGTGTGTGTGTGTGTGTGTGTGCTCTCCACAGAGTCCAGTGAACATGAGGACAAGAGCACAGATGCCTCTGGGGAGGTTGCTGTTGAGTTGTCCAGCCAGGCCCCAGCCTCTACTGAGCTTCCTGCCGAAGAAGAGGAAGTCCCAAAATCTCCCTCTAAATCCCCCACCAAAATCCCAGACGCAGATGAGGAAGAGCTGGGTCCATTGCCTGACAACTGGGAAATGGCCTACACTGAGAAGGGGGAGGTCTACTTTATAGAGTAAGAGAAAAAGAAGCTATATGAATATTATGTTATTTTGTTTTTGATATCCCCATATAAGGATTTTACAACAAAAAAGCATGTTCATTCAAGTCTCTCTGTAGCTGCCTTACAGGTGTTAAGTTCAAGTTCATGACCTAATGGAAAAACATTGACAAGAAGTAAAAATGCTGAAAAACAAATGTAATGTACCTCACACAGTTCACCCTCTTGTCTTTAAAACCATGGTTTATGTAAGGCTGGGTATGCATGTAGTGCTGGCCTCTGTGTTGAATAATTGATGTAATATGGTTAATCAGACACACAGGACACACACGTGCACACCTTGGCAAACCTTTGCCCTCTCCTCTCACCCCCTTTAATTATTAGCTGAGGGCTAATTAGTGGATTAATAGCCATTTAGTTTACCTTAAAAATCCTCTCGTTTCTCTTTGTCTCGACACACACAGCGCACACAGTTGAGGACTCTCACTGACACAATGGATTTGCTAGCCCCTAACCCTGACCATCACAGCTACATGCCTAACCCTAGCCTACTTCTACCCTTAACCCTAAAACCAAATCTTAACTCTCCAACAGCTCTTTGAAGTTGTGAACTGACTAAAATGTCCTCACATTGATGGCATTGAACAAAAGGTTTGTCCACACTGTGACATGTACACACACATATAATGCACGCACACACACACTTGCATACGGGTCATGAGTGTTACTTTGCACCCCTCTCTGTCGGTCTCTTTCTGGCCTCTGTTTCACCTTTCTTCTCTCCTCTTTCTACACCTCTGTTTCTTCTTCTCCAGTCACAACACCAAAACCACATCATGGCTGGATCCTCGGCTTGCAAAAAAAGCGAAGCCACCAGAAGAATGCAGGGAAGACGGTGAGTATGAGCTGCCTGTTTATCTGTTTGCTCTTTTATTTTGTAAGCTTTAGTTTGTCTTCATATGAGTCTAGCTCCTTTCAGCGTTCCTTGTATTTCTGGCTGTTTGTGTGCCTACACAGTGTGTTCCTGTCTGTGTACCAGTGTTTTTTTACCTCCTTGAGAAAGAGCACAAAAATACCCAGCTGTTTGAGTTGTTTGTCTTTATCTGACTTGTATATGAAAGGTAATTATTAAATACAGAAACTGTAAAACTGATACATTTGACCTCTCTAGATTTGTTGTTGGGATTACTCACAAGATGTACAGAGAGGAATATGATAATTTTATTCAGTGTTCTTTTTTTATGCCTCATGAACAAATGCAATTAATTAAAATTAGAGTAGGACTTTGTTGAAAAATATCAATATACAGAAGAACTCTACCTGTAACCGTGTGTTCAGACCTCATCACTGCAGCATAAAACTTCGTTTGTTGTGTGAAAAGATAAAACTGGCATCAAACATTTGTATAATTGTCAGCAAAGCCCAAAGCAGACCAAAACCAACAGGCTGGCTTCGGTTATTCAAACGGAATCAATCCAATATTTGTTTTTGGTGTTTTTGTGGGATTTGTTGACAAGCAAATATAAAGTGTCAACAGCCTTGTCTTTATATTTTGTAGTTTGAAGACTTAGCTAATCAATACATGAGAAGAGAACGGTTCAGGAAAGCCCCTTCAGCCTGTCGCTGTAGTATCCATGATTTCACCCATATAGTGCAGTTTCTTTTGTTTTTCACCTCCACGACCTCCTTTCTTCTTCCACAACCAAAAGACCAAGGGCAGAGAACGGCAGTCATTTGTAACTTCTTATCAAACATATTCTTGATTTGAAGCAGCTATAAACAGCAGCAAGAGGTTCTTTGCTTATAGCTTATACTTCTGCAGTCTAGCTCTTTTTCTTTCCCTTTCTGAATGGTGAATACAGATACCACCACCTGCTGGTAGGGGAAGTTATTTCTGTCGTGCATGTGCAGAACGTACATGGTAGTTGGCCATTGGCTGTAGTCTGGGTTCAGGTGTCATTTTTTTTTTTCAACCTGACTGGCCCAGAAAAAGTCAACATGAGGTAATGCAACAGTCAGCATTCATCACTTCTTTCACGTCGGCTTGGTGTGTGTCTGCTCTAACAGCATGCAGTCACTGCGAAAAAAACATCCAGTACTGATGTCTGTCATGTAAATAAAAGTTTCTGGTGGGATCAGATATACAACAATGAGGTGATCTTACATCCCTGCTCCTGTCACAGCCTTTGCTCAGTGAATGAGGTTATGATGTGATTCACAGGAGCGAGATCTGAATCAATACCTCCTCTACCTCTTAACTGGTCTCCATCTCTTCAATTTTCTCCCTCCTCCATTCTCTCCTCTGCAGTTCTCCCTCATCCCTCGTCCCTCTCTCTCTACTTTCAATCTCCTGCTCTTCAATTTTCCTCCTATTTCTCTTTTTTTCCTCTTCCACCTTCATTCTGTCCCTCCCTCTCTTCCTCTGCCCAGTGAAGGGACAAACTGTGACAGGAGCTCTAATAACAATGCTCTGCTTTGCACAGACCAGCTCTCACTACACACACACACACACACACACACACACACACACACACACAGTACAGTACACATGTTTTGTTTCCATCACTTAAGTTGACATTATAGTGACATATATTCATTTCCTGGAGACTTACCCTAACCTTAACCATAACCACTACTTGCCTAGCCCTCACCCTAAGTTTAAACCAAGGCATCACTCTAAAATGTAATGATTTACTTTTTTGGGGATTTGCTTTTCCCCTCCATAAGGATGTCGAGTCCCCACAGTAAAACTGTGTAAACATATTTATGTCCCCACAACGTGATACCAGGCCACACACACACAAAATACTTTTGTTAGTTCACAAACCTTTTTCACATACATGGCCAGTATACTTCATCTTGCCAGGGAAAAATCAGTTTCTCAAACACCAGAGATGTTCAGAAGCCAAGTTTCTGTCAGCTGCAATGCTCTGTGATCACTTACTTTGTGTATTATTGCAGCAACTTGCTGTTTAGCTTGGTCTCTGATCACAGCTATTTAAACAATACTAAATGTATTGAAGGATTTAGATGGCATTGGAGTTCTTTACTACTATGGGGTATCAGGTCACGACATGGAGACTGAACTAGAATTTGTGAGACTTTAGGTAGCAGCTACACAGACAAAATGACTCAAAGTCCTTTGTTCCCATCCTTCATTCTGCCATGGTGTGTGTGTGTGTGTGTGTTTGTGTGTGTGGTCTAAAACAGGAACTGAATGTTGTCAGGAGCCTTGTGAGGTTTTCAAAGAGGCAAATCTGAGGACGTCTCTGTTTACAGGTAACCAATTTGTTTGTAGTATGTTGAATGACACTACCTGTTGATGAAAAGCTGAAAGGACTCAACCATAAAACTGAAGGGCAAAGTCCAGGAATTAACAGTTCTTACAAATTAGGATATGAATGTCTGTCCCAAGGTTTCTTGTAATCCATCTAAAGGAAAAGTTCAGGGGTCACTGGAATCAGTAGGCTTCATCCTCTGGGGAAAACAAATGTTTGTACAAAATTCTTCTGACTTCATAAAAAGTATTTGGATCATCCCTGGACTGTTACCTGTTTGCTAGTCCAGATTTGACCTAATGTAATCTTTCTTTCTGAAGAAAGTGAGATGCGTGACCTGTGTGTTTTTTGGTCTCCCTGCTGTTTTCTTTGAGGAAGAGCTGGTTAAAGGAGGTTTATGCCTAAGTGATTGCCACTGGGTTCTGAATCTGAGGCTGTTCCTAGATGACACATCATCCTGTTACAGCACCTTTGAATTGATGTCTTCCAAAAATAGGTTTAGATACCAGGAATTGTTTTTCACTATAAACGTCTCAGCAACCACATGGAGAACAGAAGGATTTACTGTGAAGTAGTTTAACCCAGCATGCTGCTCTTTACATTACTCATGTTTTTATCTTGTCTTTTATTTTATTTTATTTTTTTTTGGGATCATCCTGTATCTCTAAATCACTGCCTGTTTGCACACTTTTGAGTGCTCGCTGTGCACTAAGTGAGGATTCAATGGAAATGATCTATTTTTGCTCATATTAATGGACATAGTTTTTGAATCATGGAAGGATGTCGGATTCTGGCAGAGGGGTGAATAAAACAATAAATGTGGGCAGGGAACAGCAGGAAGAGGTGGTGCCGTTTCTAACTGCCCATCTGCCTGAAGAATTTCCCAGCATCTCAGAGCCTTAGGCAGGAAGGAGACAAACATTCAGACACACTTTTATCAATGCTGGTTTTGCATCTTCCCTCTTGTTATTCTCTTTCACTTGCATCTCATGTACATGTCTGGTTTTGTTGCTCCACTTTCCTTTAGCGTTTCATCTCTTCATTCACTATTCCCTTTCCCCTCCCTCAGGCTTCTTTTGCTTCCTTGCTGCGTTTTAGTTGAATTTGAGGAGTTGCTTCTTTGTGTTGATGTGTTAGCACAACTTTTGTGTGTATTGTGTTGTATCTATATGCTGAGGCTGACTCTCCAAGTTCAAAGGCTTGTCACCACACTTCTGGTTTGCTTGAAGTTTTATTGTTAGGCAAGTGTGTTGTTACGTAAGACAAGTCCATATCTCTTCTTTCGCTCAGAGGAGGCAAGAACAGAGTGGGGCAAGTTTCAAATCATGGCAAGTGTTTGATATGCACTCAATTTCAACCTCGGTTTCAAAGCCATCTCAGTGCTGTTGACAAAAATATGCTGCTTGTGTTCATTTAGAAGCGAAAATTCCCACTGAGGCAGGTGGAACAATGCTGAAACCCTGTCAGTAACCAACAGAGAAAATACAGAGAAGAGTGAAATAGGAAATGAGACTAGGCAGAGATGGTAAAAAGAAAAGGAATATGACAAATGATGGAGTTGAGGCAGTGGTGATGAGCAGAGGGATGCCCTGAAAGATACAAATGGAGATAGAGAGAGGTCTGTATATGAGGAGAGTCGAATCCCTGTCAGACAGAGATGGAGTCATGCTAAAATGTTACTTCTGAGTTACATCACTGTTATTACCCTCAGTCATGTCTGGACCAGAACCATCTCTCTGCCTCCAGTTTTCTCTCCTTTTTACTCTGAATTTTCCAGTTCACTCTCTTTGCTTCTGTTTTGATATCCATCCAGTAGTATCACCCACTTACAGTATCCTTGAAGGTTGTGGGTGGCTTATCCCAGCGAGAGTGGCATACGCCCTGGTTAGGTATCCAGTACATCACAGGGCTGACATACAGACAAGCCCACAACACTCCACACAAAAAAGCTCCAGCACCACTGTCTTGATGGCTCTTATTTATTTCCTGTCTAGATCTAGATCAAAACTGGCACAGTATATATTAATATGTCAGTGCAAACATAATGTACAGCACACAACAGCAACCATCTCATTAGATTGGCAACAGTTAGTTGATTAATTTATTAGGCAGTCAACAGGTTAATCTGAAACCATTTTATATAATTGATTAATATTCCAGGTCATTTTAAGCCATGCTAGCTGACTAAAAACAATTGCAAGGGGGTTTGGTGATCATCTTTTCATCTAATGCCAGCACTGGATCAAGATATTTCATTTCAAAATTTTGGTTTATGATCAAAGTTCTCATCAGTTTCAGTTGCACTTTGAGTTTAGTGCTTATTAGCAACATTTAGCATACTAGCCTCATAGACCTGCAAGCATGGCTATAGAATATATAGTTTTATTTAAGATACTGTACAATATCAAATTCAGCTTTTCATGTGTGAATATTTTTGGGGGCTTTTTAGTCTTTTATTTAAGGGTTGAACTGTTCGTTGGACTGTCAAATTAATTTAAATATTTCAGCTTGGTCTTTGGTAAATTACGATACTTTTTGATCATTTAAACAAATGAAAATCTGTCATTCTGTCTGTCAAGGTTTTCATAGTTATTGCTATGTCACTCCAAATTGTGGTCAGGAAATTGAAGGGGTCTGAAACTACTGCAAATATGAATCCTGGTAGTTTTTTTTTTTTAAATCACAGTTGTGGAGGTTGTTATTTGGTTTGTTTATTTTTGACTTTATGGTTATTTTTTTTTGTGTGTCAGGTGAGTTCATTGTATCTTGGCTGCTTATTGGTCAGAAAGATTTAGTATGAAAGGGAAGATGAGTCATCTAATGCAGAGGAATCACAATTATACATTATGTCAAGAGAGACAGCAATACAGATGCACATAAACAAGCAGCCAGACGCACCCTTGGTGATCATGCTATACACAGACACGATGAGGTGTTTGACTTGGTGTCAGAGATGATGATGCTTTCACTCATTCAGCCGTGCAAACACGCACACACACCGCAAATATATACGCATATGAGTCTATAAAAACACACATGCAAACACTCTATCTGGCTTTGTGTATTTCAGTGGCAGGAAATAGAGACAAGACAGCCCTCAGCTCGGGTGAGAAAAAATAAAAGACTGGTGGTTTCCATGGAAACTGTCTCCCTTTCAGTTTGGGGGGAGGGCAAGCGACTAGTGGATGAGTTAGGCCGACATTTAAGGTGGCTCATCGACAGGGTGGGAGGGAATTTAAGGTGGCTTGAAGTGTGAATTCATCTGACTTTTCCACCTCAAGGATAAAAAAGATTTTCGAGGTAATGGCAGTGCAGAGCCGGTGTCTGAGCAAAGGGGTAAAGCAGAGTGAAGATAATTATGGTGAGCGGCCCTTTCACCTTGGGCTGCACAGTCAGCATTCTCAACAGCCAAGATATGCAGACACGCTCACTCATGGATTATAGATATCAAGATTGCAAATCTGTTCATAATTACATTATACCATGAGGGGATATTGCCACAGTATCAGTGTCACGCAGACCAAATAATTGTAAAAGTAATAGAGCTGGGGCTTTGTGTGGGTGTCTGTGGCTCTTCAGGAGGTTGGGTAGTGTTTTGGGCTGGGTATTGTTAAAATGTTTTCGTTACATTTACATTTGCTAGTACATTAGTTTGGTGCATATACCAAAGCAATACTGTTTTCAGTACCTTTCTTAGAGAAATATAATGTTGGTAATGCTATGCTTTATGGATCTGCAATTTGAAAGTAATTTCCTGGTGATTTCATGGGCTGTACCCTACTAAGAATTTTATCAGTCAGTCAGCTTTTCAGTGCAACTATTCACCTAGTCGTTATAGCCAAAACAATCAACTGGCATGAATGTCAGTGATGATTTCGGCCACATTAACCATCAGTATTTATTGTCAGACCCTATACATCCATGGAGCAGACCAAAATGAGGAGAAGACTTGGGGCTGTGGTGACCTTCTACTGTAATGCACATTGTGTGGAAAAAAAGAAATCAAATATAGTACAATAAAAACAAAGGTTCAACTTGAAGAGTCTCAGTCGACTGACGGACCTCTCGACTAATGATTTGACTGTCGACTTTCAAGGGGCAGCCCTAATAATTTCCAAGAGATTTCCTGGAAACTGGAATTTGCTGTTATTTATGGCCAGAATTATTTCACACGTACCCTTCCGATAGATTTCAAGTTATATCACCCCCAACACACACACACACCCACACCATATTCACACTTTGTTTCTTTTTTCCTCCTCAACTAGAGCTCTTCTGGTGTTTGTGTGTCTGTTTTAGTAATAAGCTTAGGGTCAGAGCAAGTCCCTGATGATTCACTTGTCAGTGCATTTGTCATGTTGTTCTGCCTGTATGACACTAGTATTCTACTGCTATCATATGGTTTGCTTGAAATAGCCTCATGTATTTTTCTTTGGTTAACTCAGTCTTATAGGAACACTGTAGGTCAGTTCTCTTGTTGTAAAATTTTGCTTTTTGTGCGATTTTGTGCTTATCAGTGTAAAATTACAAGAAGTGAAATAGAAGAATATGGCATAGAGTGTGGACATTTTTCATCAATGCCTTGACCCAGTTTTTTTACAGTGAAGAGATAAATCAGAAAAGGGATGGATGTAGAGACGAGTTAGGGAACCAGAGGAGGAAACAATTAACACAACAGCCATGGAAGCCGTCCAAGGCAAAAACGAGTGAGTGGGTGGAGGAAAAGAGAGAAACATGAAGTAGCATGGTGAAGGTATTTGGCCTCGAAGGATTTGTGCACGCAACAAAGGCGAGAGAATGAAAGAGAGGGCAGGATGTGATGTGTCAGATGATTTAAATGTTCTTTTCCTCCTGCACTGCCTCTATTGATGTGTCTGTTGTGATTCGTGTCTCCATGAAGAAACGACGGTTGCAGATCGAAGTGTAGTCTGTCTATTAAAGGAGCACTTTGGGAGCGTCTAGCTGTGAGCCCTGAGATTCATGTTGTCTCCCCTCAGTGGTTCAATTTAGTGTCTCTACATTCTTTCTCCTGCTCTCAACATAAACTGACTTTTCCCCTCGTCTGTTTCTCCTTCCTCTCAGAGCTGCCCTATGGCTGGGAGAAGATAGACGACCCCATCTACGGCAGCTACTATGTAGAGTAAGTCTCCCTGTTGACTCGGTTAACTCAGCTGCTCTGTAGTAAAATGGGAAATGCATTCCATGGTTTACAGCATCTCAGTATTAATTATTAATGACTAAATTCTCATATTGGTTTATGTCTTACTGCTCATTTGACTAGTCTTTTAAAGTGAAATGCTGCCCTGTGTAGATTACCCTGCGAATGCTGAAAAGTGATCAGTGGAGTTTAAGTCACTGCAGGTTATGTTGCACATAATATGAGGTACAGGTAACAATGATGGTACAAAGAGATGCAACAAACCAGTGGCAATGTCAGTCAAACAAAATCTGAAAAAACTAGTGGCAATGTCAGTCAAACAAAATCTGTTTAAGCCATAAACCGGTGTGTGGGTATCACCTGTGAGGACATACATCCACATGCAAGGCCTTTAAAAGCATCCATTATTTGACATGCTGAAAGATGGTGTTGTTCTGAATGAGTTCTTTCACTTTTTGTGCATAAGTAAATTTAGCTGAAAATGTTTTCATACTAAAATTTAGAATTCAGAATTAGTGTTGTCAACATACTGGAATTTCTAACTTCGATGCAATAGCTTGAAAAATATTGATATCCCATACCACGGGGAAAAACTGACGCATGAGTGAGGGTGCACAGTTTTACATTTTAATTAAAAGATAAGTATAACATGATATGACTTTTCTTTTCTTAGCCATTGACAAGAACAGCTGCATGATTATAGGAGGCATTACAAATATCTATTTCATTAATGAAAACAATACTTTTCTTGAAGTAGTACACATGTTCAAGAACCTCTGAGATTGTCACATGTAGTGCATGTTAAGCACAACAGCATCTAACTTAATTTACTATTTAAAGTATTTTCCTATAAACTGAATCTCTGCTGCAGCATCACTATAGAGCAATGCCATCTTCTGCTGTGACTTTGACAACCAAACCCAGCTATGGAGGCTCTGCACTTGTCATCTCTAAAGAGCTAACACCATAACAAAACTCGCAATTTACCATGATTTGCCATTAGCTTAAAATTCAACGGGAGCAAATGAGACGAGTGAGTAGAAGAGGGCAACACTGTGAGTAAGAGTAGGCACTGCAGCGGGGCGTGTCGTGTTCTTGTACTTACTATATAGTGAGGACCAAAATCGTTTTTCTTTTTTTTTTTGGCTACAGAGGGAGGGCATTTTGGCCAGTCCTTGCTTTGTGACACACCACTTTGAGGGTTAAGACTTGGTTTTAGGGTTCAGGTTAGAATTAGGTTTAGTTTAGGCTTAGGTTAAGGGTTATGGTTAGGTATTTAGTGTTGATGGTTAAGTGAAACATTTTCAAATATTCAGTATCGTATGTATTAAAAAATGATATTTTTGGCGATAGAACTGCATTGTTGTTTTAAAAAGACTGAATTATTATTATATATTAATATAATTATTATTTTTTTATAATGACGCATTGTATTTTCAGTCATATCAATCGAAGGACTCAGTTTGAGAACCCAGTCCTGGAAGCCAAGAGACGCCTGGAGCAGCAGCGACAGATGCAAAGCCAGGGGCTCTCTGCTCTACCACTGCCCACTATATACAGAGGTACACATGAAATACTACAGTATGTGCAATATTTGAGTTAAAACGTGCGGACACACTCACTTGCACAAATATGAAAATGCCAGGACTGCAGAAGGGACACACATGGCACATGGCCTTGGTCTTCAGGGCATCAGTGGCCCCTGTCCCTGAAAGCTTATATGCTGATAGATGTTTAAATTAATCTTCCAGGTTATTTTATATTGAAAATTGTACATTCATTGCTTTCCTAACCCATCTCATAGAATGGGCAGTTTCATGATGCACAGTGTCACAATGTACAGGGTCAAATGGAGATCACTTGCAGTGCGGGGACAGAGTACATGCTCACCCTGAGGGCCCTAGTGGGCTAATCAAGGCGCGCATATGACGAAATACTAGACCAGTACATAATGTACTGCTCCATCTGTGTGAAAACTGAGTCATCAGGAATTAAGGAAAATGTGTTTGTTAGTGATTTTGCATACATAAAAAATGTACATTATAAGCATTCAGCACTGAAAAGATCATTTCATGTGAAAATTACTTGACAAATTGAATGTAAATGTTCTCTAATGTTGGCGATATCTAAAATATCGTACTTCAAAACCTTCTGCCCCTGCAGAGAAGCCATTGTTTACAAGGGACCCAACCCAGCTGAAAGGCACCTTCCTGTCCACAGCCCTGCAGAAGAGCAACATGGGATTTGGCTTCACTATCATAGGAGGCGACGAACCTGATGAGTTCTTACAAGTGAAAAGTGTAATACCAGAAGGACCGGCTGCTCAGGATGGAAAGATGGACACAGGTAAATGTTTACCGATGCAGAATTGTGACAACTGAGGTTTAAACAAACAAAAGACTGTCACTGCTTATACTGTAATGTTGCATTTATAGAAATGCTAAAGCGCAGCCTCATTATTCTGACACCTCCTCATTATGGATCTGGATTTCCTGCCAGAGCTGATCAAGTGGGATCACCTTTTGGTATTATAGTTTCAATTTAATTCAAGCAGGTTTTTTCTGGCTGTTGGGTAAAGTCGGTCAATATTTCTTGTATCTGAAAGGTGAGGGGGCGTCGGTAGTGTGTCAGTATCCTGTTAATGTGGTTCTGCGGTGTAGTTTACCAACGCAGAATGTTTCTTAGCCTAAGTGTGTGTGTGTTTATGGTTTTCACTGGAGAGGTTACGTACAAAATTGCATTCACACACTATCTATGTTTGTGTCTTTGATAAATGGCCTTGAGTGAGTAACTGAGTTCATTTTCAAAAGTCTTCCAATGTTCTCCTCAGCTATTTTCCATAATAATTTTGTGTCTTTATTTTATCTAATTTCTAATGCGTGCCCTAGTGTTAATTTGTACCATCATTGTTCCATTAAGGAGAGATTAAGGCTTAAATTCCAGTATGTTTTGATTAACAGGTGTCACAACCTATTGCCAGTTGTAGTTCATGATTGTTTGGCCATTCGCTGCATATGTAACATACAAAAGAAGGCACAATACTTGCTCAGTAAAAAAAAAAAGTAGCACTCTTTTTTTATTAAATCTTGAATTTTGGGCCTCTTTTTTTCTCCTTATGGTCCATTTTTGTTTCCAGCATTTTGGCCCTAGCTGTTTTGGAGTCTGTCACAAACACAACTCCGCCACAGTTAATGAATTGCGTCTAAGCTGTATAATAATCATCATTGTGTATGATAAATAAATGGTAAAAATAATGTGAACAAAATTACTGTGACACTCCAAGAACTGTTGAGGTACATACTAGAAATGTACAACCTCATGGTAGAGGTTTCAGTGTTCCCAGGGTACATACTAGAAGTGAACAGCCTCATGGTAGAGGTTTCAGTGTTCCCAGAAATATCAGTTCATCTTAAAAGGGGACACCACTGGCATTGGGTAGCCTATTTGGGGTGCCCTATATTTGTGTCTGTAGCACTGTGTGTCCCAGACAAGGACTTCAGTTTCCTCTCGGCACACACTCTGTTCTCTGCCAGCGTGCTATGATGTTCTGTTTTTAATGGGAATGAGGGGAACTGATGTGATTGGTCAAACTGCCACCAGCACACACAGTACCTGCCTTACTAGAACTCATTTCTACTTTGGCAGCAGCACTGTAGGCGCAGTATCTCTGTACTAGAGATGCACCGATCAATCGGCGGAGATCTCACTGCCAGTTTTCAGCGTGATCGTCCTTGACCGATGACAACCGATCACTCTGAGATTTCCCATTCTGTGCCGATCCGATTTAGAGGCACGATAGTCCACATCGCGCACGCAGTGGCACAGACCAGACGTGTGGCGTGTGCAGAGTGTAGCATCTCACGTGCAACCTTGAGCAAGACTTGTGCTCCATTCCAAGCACGTGTTAACTCATGCATTGGTACTGCCTGGTGAACAAACGGCACACAGAGGAGCCTACAGAAACACCTTGGAGAAGGAAAACTACATCCAGATCTCTAACAAACGGTACACAGTGAGGGAATTACGATCTCCAACAAACGGTACACAGTGAGGGAATTACTGGCTACACATGAAATGCATGTATATGTACAGTGCAGTCAAACACTGTCGCAGTGGTAAAACACAGCAAATACAAACTACACACACTTCAAAAAGAGCCACGTGCTCAGTAGTAACAGACATTCTTCCATTTCTTTTACCTGTTGCAACTGTTCATATTTGGAGAAATACAAATATTTCACTGCAATCTTAGTTGGAGGTTTGTTAAAAAGAGCGAGAGAGCGATTTCATGGCTCTGGATTATCAGTGTAAGAACTTGCTATGTCTTTATTTTTATTTGCAATTCTTGAGTAAGACACAAGGTTCCTGTCTTAACATAAGTAGCTCTAGATGAAAGCTTATACCTAAAGAGTATTCCACTGACTCTGATTCTCAGAGTCGTCTGGTTTGCAAAGTTTGAAATGAAATCTTTTATAAAAGCAGCCAAAACTCAAAAAGCAGATGTTAATAAAGTCACAGTGGACTGTAGCCATAGGCTCAGAGAAGGAATTACTTTACGTGTGCTCTGCTCTGAACCTGTGAGCTGGCCCCATGCCTGGCATGGTTGGTGTCTAAACTGCTCATTTAGAGCTCATTTCGAAGCTTGGAATCCTCCTCCTCTGCTTTTGTGTCTCTCCCTCTCCCTATCGGTTTCTCTTTTATCTGGAATCCATTTCTTTCTATTTTATCCCCATCTCTTGCTTTGTGTCTCTGGTTTTACCCTTTGTTATGCTTTCTTATCTGATCATGTCATCTGACAGTTCTCTGCTTCAGCCTCGGTATGTTTTCATCCCCTTTTCCTTTCTACCTCTCTAGTTTTTCTCTCTTCATCCCTCTATTCTGGTCTGTCAGCCTTTTCCTCCCTCTTTGGTTTGATTTCTCTCACTCCAGCTTGTTCCTTTCTGCTCTGTGACATTGCCAGAACTGCTCTCACACATACATGCTCGAACATATTCACTCTTAAACATGCACACAGTCACACACCCTGGCTGAGATTAGCTGGCCGATATTGGTGGCACAGCATAGCTTTTAGGGATTTTGTATGATTGTGCATGTGACACATATGGTGTGTGTCCACATGTGTGAATATGCTCATGGGATTTTGTGCGTCTGCACGTGTGACAGAGAGGGGCTCCAGACGTGTGAAATAAAGTTTGAGGCAGTTACATTTGTCAAAGAGCTTTGACTTTAAAGCTGAAATCCATGTCTTTCCACACGTTCTAACTACAACAGAGACGACAGTGCGTCTAGTGTCGCATTTGTGAAGTTGTTCCCCCTTGTTGTGATTGGTATGCAGTAAAATGTCAACAGCCACAAATATTAAATGTTGTAAATTGATGAAATTAAAAGACATCAGCACCTTTGAAAGGAAGCTTTTGAGCTTTGACAATTCCCTTTTAATTCCCCTTTAATTTTCCTTTATACATCCATTGCTGTATTTGAGATTTTCATAAAGAAATGGTCTCTGTGGATGTCATATTCACAGACACGCACCAAGACACTGACCCTGTCTCTCACTCACTTCCTGTCTCACATGTACTTTCAGATTGCCTGGAGTAGCAGTTAACTGAGATTATATTCCTGTCTGACATATGAGAGGGACAGTGTTTCTTCTGTGTTGCTGCAGGTTGTGTGTTTGTAGCTTGGTACCACTGAGACCAGATCATGTCATCTGTAAATAGTATGAGTGTGGCTGAAGCTGTTGTGTACTTGTGTACTTTTCTTCTTCAGGTGATGTCATCGTTTACATTAACGACATCTGTGTGCTCGGCACCACACATGCAGATGTTGTCAAGCTGTTTCAGTCGGTACCAATCGGTCAGAGCGTGACCCTTGTGCTCTGTCGAGGTTATCCCCTGCCTTTTGACCCCGAAGACCCCAGTGGTGCAGCAAACACCTCCCTGACACCCATTGGACTGGAGCATCGCCCCCTGGTGGTGAATGGTCGCAGCAGCTACGACCCGTACCTGGAGTACCTGTCGCTGAGCTCCCAGCTGCCTCCTCAGGCTCTGGCCCAGGCTGGAGCACCTCACCCCGGGGACACACATCTAGATGGCTCATCCTTGCCTCCCACTACACCCGGCTCAGCCTCGGCACTCACGCCTCATGACGACGGCGTGCCCATGGCCGCCTCAGGGACTGCTGGGGTTGCTGGAGCAACGGCACAAGGGCCAGAGCTGCTGACAGTTACAATGGTGAAAGGGGCAGAGGGATTTGGGTTCACTATTGCAGACAGTCCCACTGGTCAGCGAGTTAAACAGGTGATGTATCATGGATCATCAGTACGCCTTTAGCCACTTAGTCAACTACGAGCATTTCTGGGAAAAAACCTTCAGAACTGTTAGACATTGTAATTGTATTTTACTGTCCATTTCATAAAGCAAATGTGTTCTTAAATGAGTGAAATCCCAGTAGTCTGCTAAACTCAGGAGTCAAGTTGAATTTAAAGTTTAATTTAAGCTACAAATTAAACCTGATGCAGAGTTAAAACAGCAGGTCAAACTGAATACAATTCAGTCAGTGAAACTAAGTAGAAAAAGACCTGAGGTATTAAGAACAAGATGATCTCAGCCTGTGAAGGATTTGCTATCTACTAGCATGGTTATGTCCTGACTGGCTGTCCTTAAGAAGCTATAGACACAAAAATCCCAGCCTGTGCACTTTGTATCCAAGCAGTAAGCATTCGATAAATTAACAAGCTGATTTGCAATGTGACAGATGCTATTTCTCATCCCTGTCGGATTCCCATAGTAAAACATCTGCACTGCAACAAAAGATCTGTCTTAACAAGTAATTAGTTTATGTTCAACATTGCATCCATCCACCTGTTAGCTATACCACTTACCCTGTAGAGGATCACAGTGGAGCTGGATCCAATCCCAACTGACAGTGGCCGGGAGGCAGGGTAGCCTACACCCTGGACAGGTTGTGTTCAACGTTCAAGACTTATGCTTTAAAAACAAATTAATTAAAACATTGAAATATTGGTTCTGTAAATGATAGAAAATGTTTTGAATTGGTTTTGGTAGGTTGAAATTACTTGAAATAATGATTTGGGGTGATCAACAACAGATGACTGGATTAACTGGAGATTTTTTTTTTTTTTGTAGAATTAAAAGAAAGTGAATAAAGACCCTTAATAAAAAATAAACCATGTGCAGGTTTTCACTCTAACCCTTGGTTAATTACTATGGTAGACAATAAGTTTGTGTTAATGAAATTGGAAGGTGTCACAGAATCAAACTGGAAAAGGTCAAATTGACTGCGGATGTGCTGTGTTGCTGCTGTTCAGGTGCTGGAGCCGGGCTCACAGGGAGCGTCGGGGCTGATAGAGGGAGACCTGATCCTGGAGGTAACCCACCAGCCAGTGGCTGCAGCCGGACATGGGCGAGTGGTGGAGATGCTTAAAGAGTGTCCTGTGGGAGCCGAGGCAACACTCCTCATACAGAGAGGAGGAACGGGTGAGAAAGAAGCTTTCACTCTCTCTTTTCTGTTGGTCTGTTACTAGTTTGCACTATATCACTCTAATATAGTTCCAGTCTTTCTGTTGTTCATTCCTATGAGCTACAAGGAAGCTTGGAAATGGGATGAAATGAAACTAGTACCCAATAAACCAAATTTGTATTAAGATTGATAGGAAATAAGAATGGATAGTTTTATGCAGAAGGGCCCAGTGCAAGAGCAACTACCCAGCTAAATATAAGCTGGCTTCTGATTGAAATGCAAAAAATCATGTTACTGTGCATCTTCAGCTCCAGCTGCAGCTTTGAAAGAGAGGAGTCAAGTAGAGTTGACAGTGAGAGCTGGGGGAGCAGAAGAGATTTTGATTATGATAATTTTGAGACCCCTTCTATTTTTAAACATCATTATATTCTAGTTTCTGGAGGAGATTTTATTTTTGGAATATTGAAGTGTTTAGAAGCTTTTATTTTATTTTATTTTTTAAATAAGTGTTTTCTTAAGTGGAATAATTCAGGATTATTTCACAGACCAGTAATTTCTTTCTGTGTTTGTTAGAGAAAATACAAAGCTTTATATTCCCTTTGGGGGAATTATATCATTACAGGAGCGATCAGCCACAGAATACATTATTAGGCGTTAGAAAATAGAAAGCAAATGTTTTTAATGTGTTCTATGTTTGCATGTAATACACAGAAATAGCACAGGTTAGAAAATACAGTAAGTCATATCAAGGAAGTGTGTGCGACATTAGTATTGACATGACATCAGTGTTTTCCACTGAAACAGACAGGAGCAACACAACAACTGCAACTCAAAAGCTGGTAAAATTGAACATGCAATGGAGAGTTGGGATGAGAGGTAGCATTACTCACTGTTAGCTGTAGTACAGCTTTGTGGGTAAAGATGGCACCGACACTGCTGTGGGGAAGCGGCTCCATTCCCGCTGAGGCTGCCTATCTTCAGAATAAATGTAGTTATTTTACTGTAATGTGCTTTGGACAGGAATGACTGTGGAGAGTCATCTAGCTGGCAAACAAGCTGAACTGATTGCATGAGGCCATTTGCTTTTACCTGTACTGACTGTACCCCAAACACTCAAATAATCCAGTCAAATCAAAATTTATTTATATAGCACTTTACAACAATATCAGGTTGGCCAAAGTGCTTCACGCAATAAACAGAAAAAAGCTTAATAATGATATTCAGTTGTACAAGGAGCTTTTTCATTCTGTTCTGCTTACAAATGGTCAGTTTTGATGTGATGTTAAGTTGGGGGCAGTTACAACAAAGACAAAATATCAACCAAAATGCTCTAAATTAGCAAATTCTTATTCTGTAATGCTGGGGTTTTGAAATTCTTGACTACATCTTGATTTACTGGTCAAACCTGATTTGTTTTTGTGAGTAACTGGACACCCACCATCCTTGTCTGAGCCTGTGTGTTTGTCTGGAAAACTATTCTTCTTTCTCACAATGGCACGGTGTTTCCTCCTACACCAACTTGAATTTTAAGCAGACATTTAATTTTCATTGTTGGCTGGCTGTGTGTATTTAGAGAATCTCAGCTCTGCATTGTAATGAGCTGCTCCACATCACCTTTTAAAAGAAGCCAACCACATGCCCTTAGTTTGAGGAAATAAATCAGTTTTGAGGCAGGAAATAGCCGAAATAAGGAATGAAAGAAAAGATCGTAGTGGGGAGGTTTGAAGTGCAGAGTTCCTGTAATATTGCCAGAATGACATAGAGTGAGACCGTTTTCCCTCTTCTCCTAATTCCTGCAAGATTGGCCACCTGTGAAGAAATTAAATTGCATGGCAAAAGCTTTGTTTGTTTGACATTTGCTTTTGCACTGATTCTATGAAAGCCGTTATGGTCACGGGGTTAAAATTTGACTTGATAATTACAAACACACACACTCAACCGCTAGTGATTTACCATTCAACAGCCTGAATGAAAATCAAGAGTCAAAAAGAAACACACGTCTTTGGGCCATGTGAAGAAACAGACTTCATGAGTTCAGTGTTGGCTTTGGATGTGCCACCCCGCTGCTTTGCAGTTCACATTTTTTGTGCTTATTTTGTCATTGAGTCTGTAGTTTTTCTGGAGATAAAATAGCAGGAGTGAAGAGTTATTTTGTATTGTTTCTGATATAACAGAACAACAAAGAGGAATTATAGATGTGCTCTCATTTCTATCACTTCTTTTCATGGGTTTTATTTAATTTGGGATGAAGGCAGTCAGTCTCTTATGAATCTCAGGTTTAATTAATTGAAGTGTGACAAGGATTATTATTACAGACCCAAAAAGCAGTTCAAGCCAGTACCTCTTAGTGATTCTGATGCATCAGACTATCTGATGTAAATGCTGCTGGGTGGGTTGCTGCCAGTCCTGTTGACTTGAATCTACAGAACATTTTTGACCATTATTGGAGATGTATTGACAAATTGTTGCCTGCCCTAAGTGAATTGATTGGCTATAATATATTGTTCATTGAATTATACTTGGTCACTTGATTACATTAAAGCCAATAAATTCTACTGAGAGTGCGCTGAGTGTTTGCAAGCAGGGATAGAAAAAAATGTTGGTGTGAGTGTGACTGCACATCAGCATGCATGTATGTGAGCAACTGAGATCAGATGTTGTGGTGCTGAGCATCTTATGACCATGCAGAGCCAGCATCTGCCACCTGGTGGTTAGCCTTTGCAAAGACACTTGTTTCACTGGTTTCACTGTCAGATACGCCATTTAAAAAGCATGCTGAAATTCAGTGCACAGCTCCCTACACACAGTAATGCATCATCTCGTGTACATGCACAAATCTGTATTCGAATATACAGACACTCATACACAGCTTGCATTGGATATCCCTGTAAATGTGACAAATTTCCTCCCTGCCTCTAAAGATGCCATCTTCTTCTTCAGCCTCACTCCAGACAACAGCACCACTACCTGACACACCAGGAACTCCTCTGACTCCGTCTGTCTGCTCTGTGTGGGATGAAGGAAAGGATAGCATCCTTTACAGTGATTCAGATGTGCCACATGTCAGGAAAGTTTAAACATGTTTGTGTTTGCAGACATAGGATTTCTGTGCAGAGCATCAGTGAAGTTTAGCTTGCACACATGATTTCTGATGTGGGACTGAGAGCATCAGTTCTTTATGTAGCACAGACAGGGTGTTAGACTTCCGTTGCGTGTGTGACTGTGTGTGTTTGTCTCTGTGTCTGACTGCTCCGCTGTAACGTGGGCATTCTGCCAGAGATTCACTGAGCTCTGGTCATGTTCACAGCTCCATCCCCTGACACCCCAGTTTGAAGCGGAGCCAACCACAGGCTAGAGACATTTTGCAGCACCAATGAGGATGCAGTTCATAGCTGTGAAGAAAAGGTGTCAGGCTGTACAAGCCAATCAGGCAGATCTGAAGGCCATCCAGATCTCAGCAGGCTAGTCTGTGAGGCCAGACTGCCCGACCACTGACTCGTGATAGAGGCCACATGAAGCCTCTCTGCCAGTCATTTATTTGTAATTCATCAGCATGCATGTGAGCGCACCACACGTCTGGTATATATGCTGGTGAATTGCATTAGCATTTAAATTAAGCTTAACTGCGTCTGTGAGGATGACGCTCCACTTTAACATGAGTAGACAATTGCCTTGTTGCTCATACTCATTTCTTTCAGTGGGCCATTAAGGAAAGTTTCCTTGAGTTATGACTTATTAGAATTCTTTAAGGACGTCCCTTAAGGCCTGTATTCCCTGCAGTATGAGGTTATTAGTCCCAGCCTCCCACAAAGCCCTCCCTTTGCTGCTGTAAGTGTGCTGATTCGTTTCAGCTCTGCAGACAACTCTACTTAAACCTCCATTCATGTTTATGTCATTCATGGACGGGGGCAGGGTATTTCTCTTTTCCCTGTTGTCGTGTGTCCTCCTCTGTTCCCACTGAGACACTGGGATGTATGGAGAAAATGGAAAAGCTTTTTTGGCAGAAAAGATGCTTCGGTTAACCAAATGGAGTTGGACAAAGGCTGAAAAAATATGGAAAAATAAAAGGAAAAAAGTGTCAGGAATAGCAGAAATGAATTGCAGTTTTCATCTCGACTTCACATGAATCTACTGTATTTCATTTTTCCCCATCTCCTCTCGCTCTGACATCCTTCTCTGTTGCTAAGTGCTCTGGCCTTCATCTTACACATCCAAAAAGCAGTAAATCCATAATAGATTCCTCCCAGTACTCTGACATTTCTCAGGAAGTCTCATGTACTGAATAAATATTACATATATCAGGCTACTCTAAAGAATATTTTACAAGTACCTGCATCTGTTAAAGAATTCATCTGGAGTCACAAGAGTGTGTGTGTGTTTACCGTATATGTTTCTATCTGTGTGTGTAAAGTGCTCATTCACACTGAATGTTTAGACAAGGCAACCAGTGCAACCCACACAACCACCCCATGCTTCTCCACCATGCATGTATTTGGAACTCAGCAGCTTAAATGTACTATGCCTTTGATTCAGTGGAGTCTCAAGGGGACTGGGATGGTGACGTCATGACATAACGCGCTCACTGCTTCCTACATAGAGACTAAATTTTACTGAGAGAATACTGTGTGTGCTCACATGTGTATGTGTATTTTTGGGGGGTTTGCTTCTGCCTGCAGCTAATGATGTAATTACATGGAAATAAATGCAACAACCAAACCCTTGAGGAAGAGCTGCACAAACAAAGTCCAAACAGGAATATGAAATCAGCAAACTGAGAATTTTTTCACACATTAAAGGAAAATCATTTTAACACTCATATCCAACATCTCATTTGAAGGAACCTTTGCAGATACTGTTGGTTCTATCACAATAGTTTTTGTCTTTATAGTTGTAATTGTCTGTATTTTGATGTTTGAAAAGAATCGGACACATTGTCAGAGTCTTCTCTCGGGTAAATAAGTGTTTTTCTCTTCCTTTCTCAGGCCACATCTCTCTCTGGAAGACCTCCAAACAGGTACAGTGACTGAATCAAATGTGTTTCCATTTGTGTGTGTGCAAGACAAAAGGAGAGGCAGATAGGAAAACATTGGTCTATGAACCAGATTTGTTTGTAGAAGCAGAGAGGTAAGATATTAGCGGGTACAATCGGTGTTTGTCAGCGAGGTTGTATTGGCTTTTGCTTTATTGTGAAATGAGCCAGTCTGACTTGACCTGCTTATTGGTTTGATCACATCAGCACTCACACTTCGCCAGCTGGGGAACAGACCTTCAGATGTGTACTTAAACTACACCTGTCACTACTTTTACAACCAGCAGTCATTCATGGCAATAGAATCTAAGTTTAAATTGTGATTTATATGGATTCATTGACATATCTCCCCCTGGCTTTTGTGCACTGTTACTAAATTGCAGCATTTAACTTTAACTAAATATATTGTGGCTTCAGAAAGTATTCAGACCCCTTTATTTTGTGCACTGTATTACTCTCTACCTGATAACCCCTAATGTCCTAACGACCTAAATGAAAATGTTAAAATTTGTTTGAAATCAAGAACTGAAATCTCTCATTTACAAAAGTTTCAGACCCTCAGTACTTCATAGAAGACCCACTGGCAGTATCTATGAGCAGACAAATAACTGTAAAATGGAAGAAGCATTTCACAGTTTTTAAGGCCACTGTGTTCCTGGGAACCCTCAAAGCTTTACAAATGATTTTAATGTCTTTGGACATTATTAGTTATCGTTGGACTTGTCACACCTTCACTGTCACTTCCACAGAGACAGTTATTACATCGATCATAAAGTTTTATCGTTAGGATTATCGTATTTCATAACACACGACTGGGTTAAATTCAGGCTGATGCAGTTTGTTTATTGCCTTAACTTGTTTTTTTCTGCCAACTTTAGTTTGTAGTCTTATTAAAACCGCAGCTGGTGCTAAATAGTGTATTTTTATTGCAGTTTAGTTTTTTTCCTATCCTTATGTTTTACTTGTATAAGCACTACACGTCATTCCTGCCTAGTATTTCAGTTCTTTGTTGCTGTTTTCTCCTGCCCGCAAAACACAGCTGTTGCCACTATCGGATGTCTGTGTCTCGGTTTTATTGTGTATGTTGCTTCTATGTTTTGTGCCCACACAACAAACCAAATTCCCTTTGATCAGTGAGATGCTAAAAGGAAGACATGTAAGTGTCCCCCGGGCATTTATCCCATGGCTAACTGTTGCCTAGGAAACATAAATAGAAACCTATTAACCTATTAAATATAACCTAAAATTGACACATTTGCAATTAAAATGTTAACAGCCAAGCAGATGGAATCGTGCTGAATGTATTCCAACATGTTTGGGGGAGTTGTAACATATAGAAATAAAGCAGTACATTTATGGGACACCATATGTTCAGTTAAATATCTGTTGTTGGCGTTTTCCTTGCAGTTGCCAGACCAGTGGGATCCGCATGACAGTTCCCAGCCAAACCTGTCTGGCCCAGTCTTGCATCCTGGCATGCCTTTCCCAAACCAGCCACAGCACCGCACTTCAGTGCCCGACTCAACTGAAGGCTTCGACCTTAACAAGCCTGACCCTTATGACCTTTATGAGAAGTCGAGGGCAATCTACGAGAGCCGACGTGAGTACATAACCTTTCCTTCATTGAAGATAGCGCATTACATTGTTTTACACTCACCAGCCACTTGATTAGGTACACCTGTACATTTGTATGCATTTCAATGTATTATATGTTTATTATTGAGGTCATGGTTAAAGGTGATGTTGTACTGGACTACATTATGTTCAGAAGTGTTCCTAATAATCTGACCCTCTATCTGGATGGAGCTGGGGAGGACAAAAATATAGACACCTCTAAATATAATGTAGTCCAGTACAACATCACCTTTATCTATGACCTCAGTAATAAACATATAATTGAATTCATACATTTATGACTATTTCACCAAAAACTGAAACATTTTGAGCTTCATAAACACAGATGTTAAGGTGGAAGTGTTGCATTGAATTGTATACAATTGTACAGGTGTACCTGATAAAGTGGCCGGTGAGCGTACACTCCTAATATGATACAATAATTTTGAAAGTAAAGAAAGCTTTATTATAAGAAAGCTCAGCCTTTATTGTCTGCATCTCTGTGTGTCAGGTCCAGAATACGAAGAGGTTGAAGTGCACCTGCTGAGGGAGAAGACTGGGTTTGGCTTCCGCATTCTGGGGGGAGACGAGGCCGTGCAGGCTGTGAGTCCGGATGCCCGTGACAAGGCTCGTATGGGACGGGCTGGACCACCACACGTTTTTAACCTCATACCCAACAACTTTGTCTCACCTGCACCTAACATCATCTCACTTTGTTCATCCAGTTGCAGTTCATACGTGTGACACTCATACACTTACGTACGAGCACACTTTGACTTTCTCACACTGTCCTGCTCCTCTAACCGCTTGGTACCTCCCATACTAATCTAACGCCTTGCTAACCTGTACAAGTGTACAACAGCATGCAAACTGTGAATCTGGGAGAAGCTACTTCACAAGTTAGATCAAGTCATCGCTGTGTGATTCTACTGTTTCTGTCTCATCCTCGTCACCTTCATTTATGCTGCTAATATTGATTGTCTTTGAACAGATTGTTATTGGAGCTATAATTGAGAACACTCCTGCTGAGCGTGATGGGCGGCTTCGTCCCGGGGATGAGCTAATTTCTGTGGATAAAAATGTGGTTGCTGGGAAACCGCACAAATACGTAATAGACTTGATGCATGCAGCCGCTCGCAATGGTCAAGTCAGCTTGACTGTGAGAAGGAGAGTGCAAACGCCTGGTGAGGACATGTTCTATAATTTTTGCTCTTTTTTGTTTTTCTTTTCACACTTTCCCAAGACTGTAGAACATGCTGCACAATTCTCTGGCATCAAATAAAAAAAAAAGACAACTTGGACAGGACACACATGCTGACAATCTGTGTGCAGGCTCAGTGTGTACTTCTCACCCACACATATTTTCTGAGGTAACAGATCATACATACATCTTTGGTTTGTTCATTGTGAGCGCTGCAGCGGGCTCTGTGGCTTCTATCTTTCTAACTGCACCACAACTGTGAGGACATACAGTTAACACAAGAGTCATACCTGTCAAATGGGAAAAGATGCATAAAGCTTGACAGAGTCCTCGGGGGAGGCGGAGACATGCTGTTGCATATGGAACTGGAATTTCTCCCATAGCTACATCTTAAGCTGCTTTCACAGTTAAAAAAAAAAAGCTTTGAAATAAATGGGCTCTCTGAGTGAGCTGACCGTTTCATACTAGTAGAGCTGTTGCTTTGACTCATGCTGTCTCCCCTCTTCCTCCAGGTGACCTGTGTCCTGTGAATGGTCGCAGCCCCGGCTCAGTGTCAACACAACACAGCTCTCCGCGCAGTGACGCAGCCTCGGCTTCGGGCCCTTCGACGGTTGCCGTCTCTGCTGCCGCCTCTCCTCCAGAGGGATCCGCCCTGCAAACCAGCGACGTCGTTATTCACCGCAAGGAGAACGAGGGCTTTGGCTTCGTCATCATAAGCTCCCTGAACAGACCGGAGAACACGACTGTCATCAGTGAGTTGCAAATCTTTTTTGGGGGGTGTGTACTATTTCAGTTTCAGGTTCTACGTGTTATCTGTGGGTCTTTGTAACACATGAAAGAAAACCTCAAAACACAGACTATTTTAGTGTGTAAAATGTAAAATGTTTTAAACGCATTCATAAGATTTCAGATGTTTTACCACACAGTGTCAATCGTCTTTGCATTGCAGTATAATGTCCATTATATCTGCTCTACTAATAACCAGTGGGCTTCATGTCCCTTAGCAATTAATTTACTTGACTAGTGTTTCTTATCCCATCCAGTAGCTTTTAGAGCTTTCATTATCTGGGGTCAAACTGAAATTGATTGTTTTTTTCCCAAATTGATCTTAATTTAATTGCAAAGTAGCATTAAAAGTCTTTAAAAGTCATAAAATGTGTATTTATTAAACATATGGTTACACTAATCAGCTTAGAATGATTGACTACTGAACAGTTTAATATATCCTGCACAAGTGCCCGATGCAGTCATGGCAACAACCGCTGCATTCAAAAAATAATGCTAGAAAGAATTTATGCCTACATTCATGACACCCTCTCTGGGTTTATGCATATCCCAAAAGTGGGTGAGGTATATACTGTAGTTTTCATGATTTCAGACATTAGTTCAGAATATAATGGTATAATGTAATGCATCTTCCGCAGTCCAGAAGTTGTATTATGTTAGGTTTGAGCAAAGTATTTTTGTGTAGTGTCTGCGCTTTGAAAGGCATAACAATATACAGTATGTAACAAATTTTAAACAGTGGCTGCACTGTTCTGCTGAGGCTCATAGGGTAATTCAAAATGGTATAATCTCCGTTTTCAGTTTTATCGGTGTTGTTTAGATATCTGTCTTCAAAACTGGCCTTGATAACAACCTTGTTATTGCCCATTTCCAGCTGTGCCCCATAAAATAGGACGTATCATCGAGGGCAGTCCAGCAGACCGATGTGGGAAGCTGAAGGTGGGCGACCGGATCCTGGCCGTGAATGGACAGTCCATCATCAGTATGCCGCACGCAGACATAGTCAAGCTTATTAAAGATGCCGGGCTTACAGTCACACTGCACATCATTCCCGAGGAGGGTGAGTGTTAGGTGTAAAGTTAATTCATATTTTGTCATGTGAATTTTGTTATGGCAGCTGGTTTAGTTTTCCCTTTTGTATTTGACCAAGAAAACTCTGAGTCGCTCTTTTTGGTCTGATATGAATGTGTTTTGTTTGACTTGGCCTTACACACCAATTTATTATCTTAAATCTTCTGAAATTAAAAGGTTAAGGATGTTCATCATACAGTAAGCCAGAAAGGAGGAATGGTGTTACTGTTGTTTTGGTTATGGTGATACTTGAACGTAATCCTTTGCTGTGTTATACATCTCAAATGCATTTCGGCACTGTGGTCTCGTGCAGCCTGAGCATGTTTTCTGTGCCAGTTTGTTCTAAATCTCTCTATGTAATTTAACATTACCCACAACCTTCTGTCCATCAAAGGTTCCCATTCTGGGCCCAGCTCAGAGAAGCAGAGCCCCATGACCCAGAAACACAGCCCACAGACCCAGCCCAGCCCTGTAGCCCAGCCAGGCCAAGCAGGCACCCAGCCTGGCCAAACGGTTTCGCAGCCAAGCCAGACCGCCGCTCACACGAGTCAGTCACCTGTCCCACCCAGCCAGACACCAGCTCAGACAAGCCAAACAGTGACTGGCACCCCTGCAGTAGTAGCTTCCCAGCCTGCACCAGCTGGAACCCAGCAGAGCCCAGTCACCCAGCCCTCTGGCCCCCCTCCACACCTCTACCTCCATGATGGCAGGTGAGACTGCACTAAGACAGATGTTCTTGTTTGACCTCCACAGGAGTGTTTAATGAGATCCCTTCAACAGAATGCATCTTGGTAACTGGAAACAGGAGTTTCCAAAGGTGACATATATCAAATTATGTATGAGCTGTTTTTTATTTTTCCTGCCAGTAAGTTCAGGAGGAAACCTGTGACTGCAGACAGCTTTTGTCTCAGACTTTCAGTCTCAGGCTGGTTTCTACTTTGTTGCACAACGCCATTAGCTCTTATCAATAAATAATTTACATTTAAGTATATCTTCTACAGTACAGCAACTTAGCATTCATGTGTGCATGAACAGGTGTGTGCATGTGAGTCAAGACACAGAGTAGCACTCCCAGAGCTGTAATATGCTCTAGTTCTTCACATTGGAAGCTAAGCTCAAATATTACATAAATCTAAAAAATATCTTGGGGACATGAGGTTGTGAGAAGGACACTTCTTCAAAACAGTGCCGTCTCCCTCGTGGGACAAACCTCTCTCCACCCAGGTCAGAGGTAAAAGCCAGGCAGGATGTCAAACCTGACTTCCGCCATCCTCCATTCACTGATTATCGGCAACCTCCAGTAGACTACCGTCACCCACCGGTCACTGATTATCGACAGCCTCCGACACTGGACTACCGACACCCGCCTGGTCTGCTGGACTTCAGACAGCACTCTGCAGCTGCACAGTTCCCTCTGGGGATTCCTACTGACTTCAGACCACAGGTACTGCTAGTCCAAGAGCTGTCTGCTTAAGCTGATGCAGTTGAACATTAAGTGGACATATTCATTTGTGCCACCACACTGTGGAGAAGGGTGTGTGCCGTGGTTTTACATTGTTATTTTCTGTGGGCTTGTTGCACGTTCTGTACATTTTGTTCTGCAGGATTTCGATTACTTCACAGTGGAGCTCGAGAAAAGTGCAAAGGGTTTTGGCTTCAGTATCCGCGGGGGCAGAGAGTACAAGATGGACCTATTTGTGTTGCGCCTTGCTGAGGATGGTCCTGCCATACGAAATGGAAGGATGCGGGTGAGATGGCATGACACCAAAATTAAAAAGCTCTTTGGGAGATATATGGAATTAATGTTGTTGAGCAACAGTTGTTTTGTTGAAGAAATGTTGAAAGAAAGTGACAGGCATGCTCTTGAGAATGAGCAAAATGCCACTTGTGTGGTGTGAAATTTAACACAGCATGAGTTCTTAAAAAAGACAACACTTCTGTTGTTCTTACGTGGTTTTAATCTTTCATTCCTTCAATTCCCATCTTCTTCATGGGGCAGGAGTCGCTTCAAGGGAAGGAAATGGGGAACGTGAGCAAATTTAATTGCTTGTAAATTCAGTGACTGAGTAACACTCTGTTCAGTCTCAGCACCTCCTGTTGAGATGAACTCCACCACCAGCAGAGGACTGCGATTATAAAGAAGTCAACTTTCCATGGATAAACGGAGGCTAAAAGAAATCGACACTGTCCTCTGTGTGCCCCCTCCAGGTAGGGGATCAGATCATAGAGATTAACGGGGACAGCACGCGGGACATGACTCACGCTCGTGCCATTGAACTCATCAAGGCGGGAGGCAGGCGGGTCAGACTGCTGCTAAAGAGAGGCACAGGACAGGTGCCAGAATATGGTGGGTTTTTCTGACAAACTGAAGTCTGTGCCCAACTCGTTCCACTCTTTCTCTCTCCTTAGTCTTAGACCTGATCTCTTTCTCACTGTCATACTAGAGATTCATTGTTTCAGGTTTAGCATTATAGTTTTTAACCAGAATAGCTTTTCCTGTAAAAACATATTAACATGTATTAATATCTTTTTACATTTACTCCTCTCCATTTTTATGTTCTGTGGCCTGAATTTATACTTATCTTTAAGCGAAAACCAATTTTGATATAACAACAGAAACCCAACCTGCTCTCGAGCCTTCATGTATTATAACCCCTCTGCTTTAAGTCTAATGATTGGTATAGGCTTTTACTTGCCTTCCCTCAGGAATGGTACCTCCCAACCTCTCCATGTGCATGAAAGGTGACACACTAAGCTCCCCCTATTTCTTCCTAATGGGCCACTCTAAAGACACGGTTTGTGGAAAAACGGCATGTCTCTTTCTTTCCATACCAATTAATCTGTGTGCTGTGTAGATATATGCATGATCACGAGTTTATACATGGAAAATTGGCAGCTGTGTGTGCACGGTTGCTTGTGTGTGTGTGGTGTATATAATAGAGCGATATGGTTTGAAGTGGCTCTCCAGATGAAATTATATCAGCCTGAAGAGGGTTGTGAAGTAGACTGTGAAATCAGTCTGCTTAGGATCAGTGTGTCACACAACTACAAAGATGTTAATTGTTTTCAAGCACTGAATGAATGCTGTTGCACGTCTGTGTCAGAATAGTGTATATCAGACTCCTGGTGTTACATATCAGGATAAAGGCCTGCATGGTCAGGTATGTGCTGCTTACACACGTTTGCATGCAAGTTTGCCTGAACACATATGAGGATGTATTGGTTGACTTTATTATTGTGTACATCTTTCTTTCTTTCTGTCTCTGTGTATGTGCATGCCGGCTCTGCCACTCATTTTTCATCTCAGTCCACTTGAGCATGTTTTCCTCTTCCCTGACAGCCTGTGCCAGCCCCTGGGATTCCCTTTCTACAGCCCACTCTGCCCTGCAGGAAGTGACCCTTGAACCCCACCTGAATTCATTGCTCTCATCCCATCCAGTCTCAGCCCCAGACTCTCCTCTTCAGCCCCCTCTAGAGGCCACAGTGTGCATAGCAGACAAAGCTCCACAGTTGACAGACCACAGCTCCATTAGAGGGGCTGCACGTGGTAGGTTCATCCAGCAGAAGAGCATCATCAGGGGGCAGGGAACACCCCAGGGGTCTGGAGAGGTGGACTGTGGACCAGGCGACAGACAACCTCGGGCTTTGCCCCCTAAAGCTGTCCTGGGGAGGCCCATTGAAAGAAGAGAGAGGCAGAGGGAGGTTTGCTCCCCCTGCTGTGAGAGAAAGGGCCTGCACACACAGGCGATGAGCACTGTCTGGCCCTGGGACCCATATGCAAGCGTGAATTTGAATGGAGCCTCTCTGGCCAGCGGAGATGGACATATCAGCCTCCAGGAGAGGCTGGTGTCCACAGGTCTGTTCCCCAAAGAAGACCAGAGGGCCAGCAGTCACAGTGGGCTTTGCCGCCCCTCTAAAAGCATGGAAGACTCTCCTGCAAGGAGTGCAGCTGCCTCCCCTGGGCCCTGGAATGTTCCTGGGTCTGACAAAATGCCTGGCACCCTGAGGTCCTGGACCTCCACAGTAAGTAGGTAGAAAGGATCTAGCTGGTTTGGACCCGATCACGCTGTCTGGCTCCTCACTCAGTTCACCATCAGATGTCTGAGAAACAGTAAATCTCCCTCACTCTCTCTTTGAGTCCTGCCTTCTTCTCCATCTACTTTGAAGATCATTTTTTTATGTTTCATTTACACCCGCCACCTTAAAACAAAGGAACTGTCACAGCTGGCGTTAATGTACAGTACAAAACCTGGTGGAAACTACTCAATACGTAGGCATTTAGACTTTTGTTCTGATCTCAGACTGAGCAACGATGTCTGAATGGACCTGTGCTTTTGAAGAGTACCTTTAACCACTCAACTGTATCTGGACAGATTGGATAGGTCAACGTAACCTCAGATGGAACAAGGTTCCTCACAGGAGAGAGAGATATATACATCCAAGAGATTAACTTTTACTCTATTTTCTCCATGCAGTGGGAAGAATGAGACTACAGATCTGTCAGATGGAGGCAGTGACACTGAAACTCCTGGAGGACACAGCCCCGACCCAACTGACAGCCTAGTTAACCCGACATAGGTTAGACTTCACGTCTACCGATATATCATATAGTGTAAATGTAAAATATGTACATTTGGTTAACTCAAAAACACTGCTGTGTTTTTGAGGCTGTGCTGTAGTTAGATACATTGTAAAGAAAAGAAAACACTAGGACAGTGTTTTTGGATCACTGTTTCCATGGCCTCCTATAACTACATATCAAAGACTGTGCAAGTCGCCAAACCCGGACCGTTGAGGGAGGCAGTGGTCGTGTGCATGGATATAAACCACCATGTCATTAAACAGCAACTCATGTCTTTTAGAGGTAGGATATAGAGAGGAGATCCTCTGTGGAGCTGAGCACAGAGTTGATGCTCATGTGAGATGAGAAGAAAAGCCTTTTACACATCATATTGAAGTTTTGAGCAACTGAAAACAGTTGGTTTAGTAAGAACTCGAATACTCTTGAGTTGTGTACACAGCCTGGTCACAAGTCAACCATGCAGTTATTGTGCAGAATTATGTGTTGTGTTCATTTAATGCTCAACAGAAAAATTTTGTCCAGTCTGTATTTCCCATTTCTATGCCTTTTACTGTGCTCAGTGTACCACATCACTGTGGGAGAGGGGCATCGGTGTGGGAAAGAGGAGGCCGATGGTTACAAGGTGGGGCGGCGTGCCTTACTCAAACTAATGCAGAGCTGTTGCTGTGGTGATTTGTTTTGCGAGCCGAGTGATCATGCACACATATCAGCAAAGCATTGAACTTGCGGAGCCTGTTTTTCTTCTGACTTAACACCAAGCAGTATAAACAGTTATACTGATGCACTCTGAGGATGTACATCTTAGTGTCAATGACTGCCTGTGTCCATGTGTTGAAAAGGGGATCAAATGTAGCCTGTAGCACTGCATCCTCTTCTTAGGAGAATAATCGTGGAGAGTTGGGCCATGTACGTGGACCATGGTTTCTGTAGGTTGAGCGTTATTTCAGCTTTTTCTGTTGTTTGAAGAAAACATTAAATTTGCATTGTTACAGGCAGCAGTACCAGCACTCGCTGAGACTGAACCCAAGATTTTAGATTATCTGTGAAGCACAAATGCATTGAAACATCTGTTCGATCACAGATTTGTCACTGTCAGTGTTGAGGCATGTTGCTGTTAAACAGAAGCCATAGCCTAAGTCGCTGTCCTCCTGCATTTCTCCATATTATCATTTATTTCTCTCAGCAAGATAATTGCTGAGAGAAATGGAGAACCAAATGAGTTTAAAAAAAAAAAATCACAATGCAATATGACAATTAGGCTGAATGCAGACTGATGGCAGAGCCAAGCTGTACTTGTAAACTGCTTTTAGCGAGACAATGCGCCTGCAGGCTGGGACACTAGTGAGACCTTGTGTGTAGAGCATCATCAGGACTGAACTTGACCCCGTGGCCTCGATGCTTCTGTGCTGACTTCAAAAGCTGATTACAACTGTGGATCATGTGATAAACATGTTAGCAAGGAGCATGAGAACTTGCCATTAGGCTGTAGAAATGCATTTACTGTATGTACAATTGTCAAAGTTCAGACGAGGTGAAACGATGTGTCACCCAGCCCTCCATCTCTGTCCAGGCCGTCCCCCTGCCCACTGACTGATTTTGTACACGGAAACAAAAAAAAAAAAAACTGCTTTAGTGGAGCCTGTAAAGGAAGGCTGGAGCGTTCATGAGTCCCCATTGAGATCAAGTATAAATGTAGTGTTAACTGTGTACTATTCACCTTGTACAGATGTATTCCTACGAATATGGTTTACTGTATCATTGATACTGTAGTTTCAAAGACGTGAACAACTATTTTTATGAAATGCGACAGTACTGATATATTACATTTTGCTAAAAAAAACTTGTTTACTGAAAGATATTCTGAAATACTGTCAAATAAACTCTTGACATGGTGTAAAATGTTCCTCGCTAGAAATTTTTACTTAAAACTGCAGCACTGAGACTAGAGCTGTAACAATATCAACAGAAAATGAATGAGCAAACATTTTGATTATAACGGTTTACCCAACAACAGAGGAAAATATTCTGTGCTTTTCTGTTTTACATTGTTCTAAATTTATTATTTTTGGGGATTTCAGCTGCCAGTTGGACAAAATACTTCAAGACGTCACCTTGGGCTCATGAAACTTGAGATTTTCTAAGGCTTTGGGACACTTTATAAACCAAACCACAACAAATTAATGAGTGTAGATTGCAGCCCAGGGTGATACTACACCAAAATATATCAGATGCTAAATATTAATGAATTGATGTCAAACTGAAAGCCGATTTTAACTAATCACCCCCATACCTGCAACAGTCATTTAAACACATGCACGCTTGTCAAACTATTTAAAACCCTTTTAGTCTTTTCATACAATTCCCTGCACACCAACACAGGCGTTTCCGTTATCACAGCTGATTAGATCTCTTGTCGGCTTGAAGATTAGCAGGTCGCAAAATTACTTGAATCAGAAAAACATCCCTTTTCACAGGTTAGAACTAACACTGTTGGAATAAGTACTCAGTAGTCCTGCATTCAAAATGTTACTGAAGTACAAAAGTATTAGCATCAAAATATACTTAAAGCAACAAAAGTCAAAATATTCATTGTGCAGAACAGCACATTTTACAATCTATGTTATTGGATTATAATTATCTTTGTGTTAATCACTTTAATGCTGTAGCTGGTGAAGGTGGCGCCAATTGTAATTACCTTATATGCTGTTTTGATGATCATTTTTGTAAGTAATTCAAATTTGAATTACTTCATAAATTTGGTTGGGTATATTGCGACTTTCGCACCAGGGATCTATTTTATATAGTTAATCCGATTCTGAAAAGTAACTAAAATTCTCAAACAGATGTAGTGCATTAAAAATAAAATATTTCTCTGAAATGCAGTGAAGCAGAAAATGTAAATACTCAAGCCCAGATACCTCATAATTGTGCTTAATCACAGCACCTTAGTACATGTACTTACTTTCAACCTTAGAACTAATCTGTCAGCGAGATGTCAATCAAGTGACTACACAAGAAAACCCTGAGAAGGGGTCTAATAAGCCAACATGGGTGAGAATACCTGTGCACGTAATCATGGGAGCGTTCACACTAGCTACAATAAT